CAACAAACCCAGGTGGTTGCTCCATATATACCTCCTCCATAAGGTCACCATGAAGGAAGGCATTTTTAATGTCAAGTTGAAACAAGGGTCAATCATTACATAACTGCCAGGGAAATTAAGACACGGACAAAGCCAATCTTAGCCACTAGAGAGAAGGTCCCCATATAATCCACCCCATACAACTATGAATAACCTTTAGCAACAAGTTTGGCCTTCAGACTCTCCACACTACCATCCGGCAAGTATTTAATAGTATACACCCATTTACAACCCACAACATGCTTACTAGGAGGAAGAGTAGTGAGCTCCTACGTTTGAGTATGCTGAAGGGCAAAGAGTTCCTCCTCCATTGCCTGCCGCCACCTAGGTGAGGTAAGAGCCTCCTAGACATTCTTAGGTATAGAAATAGATGACAACAGTGAAACAAACTGGTGATGTGAAGCGGAAAGGCGAGAGACTAAAACAAAATTGGAAATGGGATGGAGGGTACAACTACATTTACCTTTCCGTAAAGCAATGAAAAGATCAAGTCCTGAAGGTTTTGGGACAGGAGCAATAACAAGATCCGCAAACAAGGTAGAAGCTGGAGGAGCCAGTGTTTGTCGATGAGTATACACGTGCTGGATTGGTGGTCGTTCAGTAGGGATTTGCACTGGAGGAGGTGAAGGATCAGCCCCAACTGGAACAATCGGAACGGGATCACGGACTAGAAGAGGAAGAGGAAGCAAAGGTGGAGATACCGATACTTTAGGTCACGAGAAGGGGACAAACTCAAAAAAGGTGACATCAGGATAGATATAGCACTTCTGAGTAATGGGATTTTAACACTTATACTCTTTGTAGATCCGAGAGTAGCCAAGAAAGACACACTGAATAGAGCATGCATCCAGCTTGTCTATCCCAAGACTCAAATGGTGAACAAAGCACACAGCCAAAGACGCGGGGTGTTAATGGAAAGGGAGGGAAGGTGGGGAACAAAATAGGAAAGGGAGACCGACCATGAAGAACGAAGGAGGGCATCCAATTAATAAGGAAACAAGTACTAAGTACAACATCACTCCAAAATCGTTTAGGAACACTCATATGATGAAGAATAGACTGAGCAGTTTCAAGGAGATGATGGTTCTTTCATTCGGCCACCCCATTTTGCTGAGGAGTGGATGCACATAAAGTTTGATGAATGATGCCATGCTGCTCTAAATACTGTTGAACGGAAGTAAGAAAGTATTCACGACCGTATCTAAACTTAGAACTTCGATTGGAACACCAAATTGTGTACGTATTTCAGCATGGAATTTTTGAAAAATGGAAAATAATTCACTCCTTTCTTTCAHTAAATAAATCCATGTCATCCTTGAACAATCATCAATAAAAGTGACAAAATACTTGTAACCATTATAAGACTCTAATTTAATCGGGCCCCAAACATCTGAATGAACCAAAGCAAAAGGAATCAACATACGACTTTCAACTCTAGGACTGAAGGGAACACGACGATGTTTCCCATACTGACACGACTCGCATTGTAAAGACAACAAATGACTCAAAGACGAAACCAGTATCTTGAGTGCCTTGAGAGATGGATGTCCTAGTCGACAATGCCACTGTAGAGGAGTGAGTGAAGTTTGAAGTGCAACTGACGATCCACCACCGTCAAGGTAATACA